TTTAGTGAGGAATTCCAACAAGAAAGTGCTCCGGTAAAATTAAAACCTGGTAAATCAAAGTGAGGTGATTATTGCAAAGCTCTCACTAAATATAATACGAATCTAAGAAGAACAAAAGAGAAACCCCGAGAAGACTTTGCGAAGAGATAAAACGGACTGTAGAAAATTCAAGGCCCCTAAAGTTGTGTCCAAGGACCCTCATATAGGTATACCCTTATTGCAAAAGATAAAGAGACCCTGAATGAACTTTTCACGGTGCACTTTTCCAAGTCTGAAACAAAACTAATACCACTAGACACATGGCAGCATACTGGACTGGAGACCATAACTTATAGTTTATATAGGCTATATAAAGCATATAGGCTCATAAGAGTAGGTTTTACATCTAAATCTAGCAAAACCGAACAGATAAGTCCCTAAGGCCAATAGGTCTGATGTCATTTGAACTTAAGGCTAAAAAATTGCTCGATTTGCACATTAAGAATCGGGTATTGGTTAAAAGTTTTAGAATACAAGAAAGGAATGCGGAAGAGAGCAGGATTCTCTATGACAATGGCCATCTCATAACGAGGGTGGCTATGTTCTGGAAAACCAAGAGGTGATGTAAGGGGAAGCATTCGACATCACCTCCTATGAAGTAATTACAAGACCGATTTAGATAAAAGGAATAGACGAAACAAGCTGCAGATAGATCAACTCTTGCTAAGGAGACGTGTGATATACGCAGAATTACTGGGTGATCATCAGCGGTGTAAACCAGAGGCTCTTCGTAAGGGGAGTCTTATCTTTTCTCTTATGGAGTCTAGTCATGGATGATTGTCTCAGCAAAGACAAACATGATATTCTGGACTATGTGGATCACCTAGCCATCTTACCCTACAGCAAATTTAATGCCACAGTCAGATATATTATGCAAATTTCAGAATTTAGCCTAGGTAGACATATTCCTGGACTTATTCTATCTCACTGGTATTTATAGTTATACATTTGGGATCGTCTATGTTTGTCATTGTTTTTGTTTATTTCATATTCCTTTTAAGGCCGACATATTTTGAGATGTCTCTGACTTTCTTCATCATAATTTGTAATTTCTCGAATGGGCTCGCCATAAACACGATGTCGTTAGCGAATCTGAGGTGTTTTAATTTGTTGCCATTAGCATTAATCCCATATGTCGATCAATTTGTAGTTTTGAAGGCGCCTTCTTCTTCTTCTTCTTCTTGTAGTGCTTATCCGTTTCGGATGTTGGCGACCATCATGGCAATCTGTATTTTGCAAACTGTGGCTCTGAAAAGATTTGCGGTTAACAACTCTTTTCCTTTTTGCGTTCTGAATAAAACGTCCTGGTTAGTAACATTGTCGGCATATAATGTCTTTAGGATTTTACGATAAAGCCGCATTTCGAAAGCCTCAATTTTCTTACAGATGGCGTCTGTAAGAGTCCACTACTCAACTCCGTACAACAGTATAAGAAAGATATAACATCGTATTAACCTGATTTTTAGGGGTACTGATAAATCGTGGCATTTGAATAGCTTAGCCATTTTTTGAAATGCAGATCTGCTTTCTCTATCCTAGATTTTATTTCTAGGGAATGTTCCCAATTTTCATTGACGTTCGTACCAAGGTAGGTGTATGTTTTTAGTCTTTCTATTGGTTGACTATTCAGATGATTCTTTCAATTTGCTGTTCCTTTTCAGAGATCATCATAAATTTTGTTTCTTAATGTTCAGTGAAAGTCCATATCTCTGACTCACTTCTGTGATTATATTCATTAACTCCTGGAGTGTCATCTGCCTATCTGATGTTATTGATACGTTCTCCGGTAATTCGAATTCCGGCTTCAACATATTCTATTGCTTCTTGAAAGATTTCTTCAGAGTATATGTTAAACAGCAAGGGAGATAGTATATATCCCTGTCGGACCCCACGTTTGATTTTAATATCATCGGATTCTCCTGCCGCTGTACTTATAGACGATGTTTAATTCCAGTAAAGATCGCTAATAATTCTTAGATCACATGTGTCAAATGCTTTATGGTAATCAATAAAGCATGTATAAAGCACGAATTAGCATAGTCTATATATTTTTTGATGTATGACTTTAGAAATAATTTTAAAATGTGGCTCATTAAGCTAATGGTCCGGAAATCATTGCAGGATGCGGATTTGTTTTCTTTGGTAGAGCAATAAACGTTGACTTCAGCGATGACCTTGTATTACTCCGTTTAAATATATGTCATTTAATATTTTTGTTAGTCCTTGAGTACCATCGGTGTTAAATAGCTTTATGAGTTCAGCATATGCATTTTCAGGTCCAAGAGCTTTGCCATCTTTTAGTAGTGATATTGCTTTTTCAACTTCATCTGATGTGATTGGTAAGTGGTAATTACATATGTAGGATGGAGATTCTTCGAAGCTATTATCATCAAAGAGTGGTTGCATGTATTTGGCCCATATGCATATTTCTTACTTTTCATCTGTAATGATGTTCCCCTGTTGATCTTTCTGTTTGCTAGCTGTGTTGGATTTTTGAAGAACAGCTGCTTGTTTAACCTTTTTATGCATATTAAATGTGTCGTGTTTTTGTTCCAACAACTCTATCTCTTCACTGTGTTTTTAATCAATTTTCTTTAGCCTTTTGTATTCCGGTTCTTATTTGTCTCTGAATATTGTTGTACATTCTTTTGTTCCCAAGCTAACACGAACCATCAGTTTAATGAGTCACATTTTAAAGTTATTTCTAAATATCATACCTCAAAGGATATATAGACTATGTGCAGAAAAAATCAGCCGTACACAATTTGGTTTTCGGAACGCAGTGGGTACGAGAGAGCCTCTCTTTAGCATACAAGTGCTATTTCAACGATTTAGAGATGTGAATTGCGATATTGCGAAGCAAACATTGTCTATCCGTACAGAGGCAGAAGAATCCGATGACATCAAAATTAATCGTAGGGTCCGAAGGGGCCATAGTATCACCATATTATCACCCTTGCTGTTTAGCATATACTCTGAGGAAATCTTTCAAGAAGCAGTAGAATATGTTGAAGACGGAATTCGAATTAACGGAGAATGTATAAATAACATCGGATACGCGGATGATACGGTAGTATTCGCTGACAGTTATGAAGTTCTCCAGGAGTTAATGAATAGAATCACAGAAGTGAGTCAGAGATATGGACTTTCACTGAACATTAAGAAAAAATGTATGTAAGTGATAATCTCTAAGAAGGAACAGCAAATTGAAAAAATCAGTGTGAATGGTCAACCAATAGAAAGAGTAAAAACATACTCGTACACCTACCTTGGTACGAACGTCAATGAAAATTGGGACCATTCCCTAGAAATAAAATCTAGGATAGAGAAAGCAAGATCTGCATTTTAAAAAATGGCTAAGCTATTCAAATGCCACGATTTATCAGTACCTATAAAAATCAGGTTACTACCATGTTATATCTTTCCTATACTGTTGTACGGAGTTGAGTCGTGGACTCTCAGAGACGCTACTTGCAAGAAAATTGAGGCTTTCGAAATGTGACTTTATTGTAGAATCCTGAAGATATCCTATACCGACCATGTTACTAACCAGGAAGTTTTAATAAGAATGCAAAAAGGAAAAGAGTTGTTAACCACAATAAAAACAGCCAAAATTGAATACCTCGGTCACATAATAAGGAAAAGCGAAAGATATGGGTTGCTGTAATTAATTCTTCAAAGAAAGGTAGAAGGAAAACGAGGACCAGGAAGGCGAAGAGTTTCCTCGCTGAAAAGTCTATGTCGTTCAACACAACAACCATAAATCTTTTCAGAGCCGCAGTTTGCAAAATACAGATTGCCAGGATGGTCGCCAACTTCCGAAACGGATAGGCACTACAAGAAGTAGAAGAAAACTCTTGGGCAACGTAATCGGTAGATTAGGACATAGTAATATCATAAAAGTAATTGGATATATCGTTCTTCTGATCATAGGGTATCCAAATACAGTACAAAGGATTCTTTAGAGTACTAGGCAGATATTAATAAAATCTTGCATTATGCCAGATAAATTAACATAATTACTTTCGAACTAAGGCATGCACAGATAGTCAAACGACTATGGAGCTCGTAGAAGCCCTAAGTTGGACTGGTTGGATCCGTAAACTGGTGGGGTATGCCGCTGAGAAGTACTCAACAGACTGGCGGGATATAATAGTATCACATTGCGATAGCCGTTAGGTCATCGGAGTATACAAGGCAATGAAGGCTGATTGAACTTGCCGAAGACGATTCGTTACAAAATACTTCGGCCCAGACACGGCCATGGGAGTGCCAAAAACATTGTGCGCGACCAGAAAAAAGTGTGAGTTCAGTCACGACATAACTCTTACTGGAAAAGTATACCCGCTTAAGCATATGGCAAAATTTAGATTAAACGAGGATGCGCTAAATACGCTGAAATTGCTGAAACAAACATAGATTAGCTCAGAATCATATTAGGCTTTCTTCCTTAGCATGCGTCAGTTAAGGGATACCTGCATACAATGGCTATTTCATGAATACTTACATGGATAGATAGATACATGGATAGATACATGGATACTCTGCGGCAGGAAACTCGAAACAGTCAACCATATAACCAGGAGTGTAAGGCAATACATTATAAATCAAGATATACAATAACTCAATTAGGTGCAGTAAATCCGATTTAGAACAGACGTCTTCAGGAAAATATGCATGGCGCATATACCATTGAATAGTGGAGATAACATCTGGAACATACCGACATAGCTAAATATTGTGTGGTCATGCTAGACTGCTTACAAACCTATAAATATCACTGACAGCGCCCAAGGTAAACGTTTTACTTCGAGAAACAATATTCTCCAAGTACTTTCAAAAGTTTTTTAAAAACAACTAAAAATTTGACACACACACTTCCTAGCCACGATATGTTATATAAGCACACAAAATCTTTAAATAATAATTCAATATTATTGTAATTATCCCAGAATTCTTACCTTGCTCCATAAATATATCATGATAAGGAAATTTAAAATATTCATTGGTTTTGGCCTCCTTCAGAATATATGAACAAAATAATCTGGTATATTCCTTTATTGGTACCGGATCTTCAGGGACTATACAACCTTCCAGTCTTTTTATTTGCATATATAGAAGCCTACAAGGTTATATGTAATATAAAATTAAATAAAAAAAACTTTATAAATGAATTGTTAGTTTATTTGCAATGGTCAACTTAAGGTTAATTTACTAGATAAATTTAATAAATCAGTTAATACATCCAGTAATATTTGTATTCATGTTTCATAGTATTAGGTAGGTAAGTCACAGGCTTCCAGAAAAAAAAATTGTTTTGGTGCCGTGAATCTTTATGCTGATTTTTACTTAAAGGCGATAAATCGAAATATGGATTTCGTTTTTTTGCACATCTCTAGTTTTATGGATATGGCATATTCTAAAAGTAGTAGTTTTAATATTTGAGATAATAAAGAATATGCTATTTAAAGGAATATACATTGTTAATTAAACTTCTTCCTCGGTACCTATATTTGTTGTTCTCACTGTACTTTGCCTTATTTATGCAATAAATAATACTTTAATATCGTTAAATTACTATTTTATAAGGACATAAAACAGATTGGATTTTAAAATGATACATTTACCACTTGTAAACCCATTCAGCCTCCACCTAGTACAGCACTATTAGTGCTGCTATCTGTCGATGACTAAGCCCAGTTAGTAAAATTATTTTAATAAGTATCCGCTAGATTGCATACGCATTCATATTGACTGCTGATATTGTTGCGTTTGTTGTAGTCAGTTTTGTTTAGATATTCATAACAAATATCAAAATAATCTCCAATTTTTGTGATTTTTTCAAAGTGTTGTATCAAATCTTTTCATTGGTTTGACATTCAAAAATGATTAGTGCAAGTCGCAGAAGTAGTGTTAACCATCCTGATGTGTTTTGTTACGTTTGTGGGGACTATTATACATTACAATAAAATAGGAAAAGTATTACTGACTTTATGAAACATACATGTCTTGGATATTTTTTGATTGTTCGGCTTGGTGATCAAGATAAAACATGGGCACCGCATATTGTATGTAAAACATTCACAGAACACTTACGGCAGTACACCACAGGAAAAAGAAAAAGTATTAAGTTTGGAGTGCTAATGGTATGGAGAAAACGTACAAACAACGTTGATGACTGTTATTTTTGCGTGGTCAAGGGTTTAGGGATCAATAGAAACAATCGCCAAAAGTGATCATATCCTGATTTGCTTTCAGCCAGACGCCCAGTACATTTGTGAGGATTAAGGTGACATTTTTGAACATATTTCTAACTCTAATAAAGACAGTGATAGTGATTACGATGAAGTAACAGAAAACTACTACTATTTAGTCAAGAAGAACTAAGCGATCTCATTAGATATTTAGCCTTATCGAAGGAAGCATCGGAACTTCTGTCTTTAAGATTAAATCATAAAAATTTACTGAAACGAGGCACAAAAATTATTAGTTATAGAACATGGGAAAAAGAATAGCTATCGTTCTTTAATCAAGAAGGAAACCCTGCTTTTTGTTTGGATGTTAAGGGGCTCTTGGAGAAAATGGGACTTCCACACTACGATGCAAATGAATGGCGTTTGTTTATTGATAGCTCCAAGTGCAGTTTTAAATGTATTCTGCTTTATCATGGAAACAAGTTTGGCTCAATACCAATTGCTCACTCAACTGTGATGAAAGAAGAATATGCTACAATAGCTTTAGTTTTACAGAAGATAAAATACCAGGAACATCGCTGGGTGATTTGTGTAGACTTAAAAATGGTAAATTTTCTTCTTAAGCAGCAAACCGGTTACAAAAAATATCCTTGTTTCTTGTGCGTTTGGGATAGTAGGGACCGAAAAAACCACTGGATTAAAAAAGAGTAGCCTAAGAGAAAAAACTTGGTAATTGGACAAAAGAACATTATTGCCCAGTCTTTAGTCGAATCAGAGAAAATATTCTTACCACCTCTCCATATTAAGCTAGGCCTAATGAAGCAACTCGTTAAGGCACTTGACTCTTATAGACCATGCTTCGTCTACATAGAAAGGAAGATGCCCCAGATTAGTGCGGAAAAACTTTAAACTGGAATTTCTGATGGACCATAGATTAGACTTCTTACAAAGGATCCGGCTTTTGTGGGGTCAATGAATGAGGTAGAGAAAAAATCTTGGTTTTTATTTGTGAACATTATGAACAATTTTCTGAGAAATCACAAAACTGAAAACTACGCTGAGCTGGTAAACCGTTTGCTGAATATCTTCCAATCACGTGGATGTAATGTGAGCATCAAAGTCTACTATATTCACAGCCACCTGGACCGTTTTCCTGAAAACTTGGGTGACATAAGTGAGGAGCAAGGTGAGAGATTTCACCAAGACATAAAAACCATGTTCGACCGCTACCAAGGAACATGGGACACCCATATGATGGGAGATTTTTGCTGGAGTTTGAAAAAAGACTGTTTAAAAGTTCATTCCAGGAAACCACGTAAGCGAAGCTTTCGTTACGTCAAATAAAGTTTTTTTATATTATGCTAGCTTTTTCTAAAAACTAATTGTATAACTGTTTTAATGTACAAAGGGTTTTATTGTAGTTAAATAGCTTAATATATTCGTATTTCTAATTGTGAGATATTTACTTTAATTTAGTATATCCATATCAGCATATTCGTATTTTAATGCATAAAAGCTGACATGACCTACGTTATCTTGAAAACTAGATCTGATAGGGTAAAATTTAAACCATATTTGGAATCACCACCTCAAATATACCTAAAATCAGCTCTAAACACTTTGGCACCAAAAACATTGTAGCTCTGTGAATTTATCAAATTAAAAAAAAATTCAAATGTTGGAAAAAATGTAAAACATTAATAATATGTTCCACTTCCACGATATCTTCTACATTTAAATATACTATTTTACTTATTACCCAAAAAAAATTATCGCTTTTCTCTTCAGATATCTTATCCCAGACTACTTGCACCTTTGGCCAAATTGCCGCTAGAGTCGGTGAAGGATAATATACACGGAGTAATCTTTTTCTCATTATGTCCCAGATGTGTTCAATGGGTGACAAATCGGAGATTTAGGTGGTCGATCCAAACAATTGACTTGCTTGTCTTCTTTAAAACGAACAAACGTAATTCTGGCTATATGCGGTCGCACAACATCCTTGTTACGAAACTAGATTAGATAGAATCCTATATAAAGCAGAACATGTTGATCCGCCACATTCTGGATGTAATGCACGATAATCATGCTACCTATGATGAACGCCAAAGGTGACCTGCTTCCACAGGCAATAGTAGCATTCCATACCATAATTTCAACAGTATGATGCCCAGGTCTTTTCAAAGAAAATTGAGAATCTTGTATTTCACCATGTCGCCTACTCACTCCTGCACGGTCATTATCTATATCCAAACAGAATCTGGATTCATCACTAAAGAACGATATGAAATAAGCCCAAAACTTCTGATTCGGTGATAAATAGTTCGCATCTTAATGGACTTTCCATGTCTTCAAACTGCTAGTCTGCAATTGACCTTGTCGAGGTAAAACAGTTCCGTACAGACAAACGCCTTTCCGTCAATATTGGTGTGTGGCCGTTCTTTTGACATGTCCTGTATACCTCTAGCTCTTTATGTAGGTACGGCCTTCCTGGTGCCATGCCCGACAGCAAACCATCACCGTATTACTTTTGGGATTGTCTTGTTTGTTTTAAATTTTTCTTATTGATTACTTATTGGGCCGTGTATACTTGGTCAATACAGGAGCGTCCTGCAGTCAACCCTGGTTGATCTTCGACAATTTTACTACTGATATCTTCTTTTAGTTTTAACAACTTTTACATACAATCGATCCACTGATTATGCTAATTTTCTATAATTTTCTGTAAGTTTCACATTCTTTTTAGTCTTATTTTTTAAATATTGACATAATTTTAGTATTTATCCACTCTGCAGGTAGTTCTTCGCCTGTTTTTTTGGCTTTTTGAAATATTTGACATATTATGCGAAATAACTTTTCAAATCCATATTTAATCAGTTCTTTGTTCTTTGTGTTAATAATGCTTCTGACTTCTTGTATAGACAAATCTGTATAAATGGAAATTACTCACATTGCAACAACTGATAAGTGATTAACACAAAATCAGATATACAACATCTAAGTGAAATTTATTCTTTTGCTAATGCTAGAAACAAAAAATAATCAAGCTAGTATATGAGACTCTCCTTAATAATACCTGTCATTGTTCTTTGACATAATCTTCCTAATCTGATAACTGACAGGCTCATATCACCTTGGGGTATTTGGTATTTAATTCATTGATCATGTGGTTTCAATAGTGACCACTTCATGATGTGTTCGACCTAATATGTATATTTTAATAATTTTGGTTATAATAACCAAATACTAGACTGCAGTTCATTTCAGTTGAACTTCCACAAGTGCTCCTGATGATATGAGTTGAATAACTCGAAACACGCAATGGTGGAGTTCCAATTGAAATGAAATCCAAAATTTTACTTTCATATATATATATATATATATATATATATATATATATATAATATATATATATATATATGATGGATAGAGAGGAAACCGCAACCTGCAGATCACAGTTTTTCAGTTTGTTATTTAAACAATCATTTAAGGGTTTTATGTATTAGATCAAATAAACATAAAATTAAACTAACCTGTGCGTCAATAGATATCCAGTGTCCATTCTTGAAGTGTTTATCATCATATCTTTGCATATGCTACTCACATAACAAGTATTACCCGTTGTAAGTTCCAAAATTTCTCTTAAACAAAAGTTTGTTTCTACTCCTTTATAAATTGCTCTCCTATTTTTCAAAATTCTTTCAGGAGACCAGTCCAGATATTGTCCTAAGTTGGTTATTTCACCAACAGTAACATTTTTAATCAGCGTACGAAACCATTTATGGGAATCCAACAGTTTGGTTTCAACTGAAGGAGTACCATTAAATTTTAATTTTTATATATAAGACATTCTGTATTAATATTATTAAATTTGTATATTATATATATATATATATATATATATAATATACAAATTTATAAATATATATATAATATATATATATATATATACCTATATATATATATATATATATATATATATATATATAGATAGATAGATAGATATATATATATATATATATATATATATATATATATATATATATATGCAATATACATGAATAGACATATGCAATACGGAGTAATTGTTATGTTTAATGATTATCAGCATTATTGCGAAACTTGCACTGAATTTGAATTTTTGTTTATGAGACATTTTAATACGACCTATCTAAATTATTATCCCTCCCCCTCCGAATGGCTCGGGACCCTGTCGTATCCAGGATGGTGCCCTTAATGTTCGGTCGTAGTCACTAATTCTTTGAGGTTGACACAATCGTGTGGAAGCTAAGTGACACTCAATTCCCAGTATCGGACGACAGATATGTGTCATTAGCTTTCTTTCAATACACACAGCTCGGCACTCTCTAGCTTCTCGTAAGACAAAGGTGGGCCAGAAATAAACAAACAAAAACCACGATGAGGGCCAGCAATTTTTACACAATCAATAAAAAAAATGTTTTACTTAAAAAAAAAATATGACAACGGAATAGGGTTATCACTAATTTGTTATCCCGAGCAGCGGTGGATCAAGTGAGGATTCTGTGATTAGAGTTGAAGAAGTTTTAGAAGTATATGTACGAATAAGGAGTTCGACTTAGCGAACTTTGCTGGTTCGGAGAAAGATTTTTTTATCGCACAAAGCTTCTGAGATACTCCTTAGCTTCGAAGGACCAGCTGGAGAATCCAGCACCTGAAAGGTTGTTCCCTTAACAAGAGATAGGTGTAAATATTAAATAGGTAAAGCCTTAAAATGTATCTTTATTACAAGAAGAAAAATAGCCTACATCACTGTAGAAAATAGCATTTAATAAATGTAGGAAATAAGTTTATTGTTTATGGATAAAAGTAAATGTTTATAACATAGATAACATGTAAATTAAAATCTTTGTTGGATCAGAAATAGTTTATACGCACTCGCGGCACGTTATGGCAACACCGCGACTTGAAACAATTGAAAAGTTGGGAGTAAATACAAGTTTGCTACTTACAATAAGGCACAGCATCTAACTCTTTTTACCATGCACTCACTGACAACAATACTGGAGACAATAACTAGAAAATAGTAAAATAAGGAAATAATGAATAAATGAAGAAATGAATTTGACGGGTCGCAAGCTCTTGCTTGTCAGAGCTTTTCTTACGACGGTTGATTGGCGACTATATGGTTTTAAGGAATTTGTTGGTCTTGTTAATAGTTCAGGGCCGAGAATGGACTGGTTTTTTGGGACTAGTCCAAGTTTAGACATAAGGGGAGTTTTTAAATGAAAATATAAAATTGTTACAATGTACAAATTTATGGTATATTTATTAGAAGAAGAAGAAAAAGATACACAAACTAAATTAAACTAACTAATATATCACCTAATTCTCACAAGGAAGAGGAGCCAGTTTGGTGATAGGACGAGTATACAAGTCATCCTGCGTTTTAACGCAAGCAGCCCGGACTTTTCCATCCTTGCCAGTAATTAATTCAACGATTCTGGCAAGAGGCCAATTCATAGGGGGATGGTCTTCAGCTCTCACTAATACAAGCTGATTAAGTTGAAGGTTATTAGATGATTTACTCCACTTAAGTATATGCTGAAGTCGATGCAGATAGTTCGGTGCTCCATCTTTTCCAGAATTCGTCTTTTATTTTGGTACAACGATTCCAGAAGGTTAACCTATTCTCTGGGATAGATGAGATATCACGATCAGGATAAGCTGTCAAGGGGCATCCGATCAAAAAATAACCTGGAGTCAACGAAGTCAGATCGTTAGGGTCATTAGACAGTGGGTAGAACCAATTGATTTAATGAGATGAGATTTGGCACTTTTTACAGCCGCTTCCCATAATCCGCCCCAGTGCGGTGAACGGGGTGGAATAAACTTCCAAGAAATTTCAGTAGCAGATATAAAAGATTGAATTTGTTTCTGCTGAATTTGTTTGATTATAAAATCATGGGCAATTCTAAGATTTCCAACAGATAAGTGTCGTTGATTATTAGATTTTTTCCTAACTAACATTGTGAATCGGAATATTTGAGCTAAAACTTGCTGCAGAGTATTAAAGTTTGAAAAGCGGGAAAATACATTTTCCCAAATATAGTCTGATTTGACTATAGCAAGATTGACTTTTTTAGTTTCAGGCCAGTCGTCAATAACCTTGAAAGAATCTAAGGAGTCAAAATCTGTTTGTTCAGTTAAGAATTGAGGACCCTCTATCCAAAAAAGCCAGGTGTCTGAAGAAAATATTCCACGAGAAAGTAAATCAGCGGGGTTTAAATGTGATTTGACATGTCTCCAAGTAAACTTCTTACTATTTTCGTGTATAGTTGACACACGACGAGCAACAAAAGCAGAAAAATCACAAGGGGATCTTTTTATCCAACTGAGAGCTACTTGGGAATCAGACCATAAGTGAACATAATGGATCTGAATAGATATGCAAAGGAGTTGAACTATTCTACGAGCCAACAATGTAGACAACAATTCCATTGCACACAGTTCTAGTTTTTGGCACAGTTAATTTCCTAGATATGCGAAGTTGACTAACTTCAGCTAATAAAGCAAGAAATTTCTCAAACTGAGTAATTATAGATGTATCCGAAATGGGGACGTCCCATCCTATTTGAGACTTCCACACAGATTGCATTAATAACTTACCGAAGACAGTCAGAGTATTCACAATTCCAAGAGGATCGAAAGTTGAAGCTATAACGCTTAATATTTTTCGTTTTGTTAGAGGAGGTGCAATAATCAAACTGTCAATTTTAATATGCAGACAATCATAAGTAGGGTTCCACTGAAGCCCCAGAATTTTGTTTGAAGAATCATTGAAAGTACGTTCATCTGAGCATTGGTAGACTCATTGACGGATTTTAAGAATTGTTGCGAGTTAGATTGCCATTTATGAAGTTGGAATCCATGCTTTGCTAACATGGTATTTAATTCGTAATAAAAAATCTCTAAGTCATTTTTATCATTAGTTCCTGTCAGAATGTCATCCATATAAGTTTGATGAAGGATAGCATGCTGTGCTTTGGGAAACTCAGGATTATTTAAAGCAATGTCTTTTAAGACACGAGTGGCTAGAAATGGGGCACGTTTTTTGCCGAAACTTAAAGAGGATAATTGAATACATTTAAAAGGTTCATTGGGAGTATCTCTCCATAGTATGTTTTGCAAATGTCTATGTTTTGGGTTGATATTTATAAATCGATACATCATTTTGATGTCAGCACAAATAACATACTTGTAGCATCTAAATCGACACAAAATGTCAAAAAGATTGTCCTGAACTTGATAACCCTTTGAAGTTAAGTCGTTAAGGGACACCAGAGTCAGTTTTAGCTGAGAAATCGAACACGACGCGGAGTTTTGTGGACAGATTTTCTTCTCGTATTACCGACCTATGGGGTATGAAATATTTGAACTCGTTAGATGCACTATGATAAAAAGATAAAGGAATGATCTTAGCGTGTCTGAGTGTCAGATATTCTGAAATTACACTTTGATACTCTGCAAAAAGATTTGAATCATTTTTAAACTTTTTCTCAAGAGAAAAGAATCTTTGAGTGGCCATACCAAACGACCTGCCTAATTTTTTATTTTGATTCGACAGGAAAGGCATATCTACTTGATATCGCCCGGAAGGAAGTATAACAGTTGTATCTTTAAATACGTTTTCCAAATATTCGTCATTTGAATATTTTGGGTTACAATCAGGGACTTCTTCCAGCTCCCAAAATCTTTCCATGGTACGGAAGAGCTTCAACTGTTGATCAGATTGATCATCATAAACAGTTAAAAAGGTAGAAGCCAAACTATAGGCATTAGAAGTATTAACATTTTTCCGAGGTACAGGACCTGCTATAACATATCCGAGATGAGTGTCTATAAAAGACGGCAAATTCGGACCCGTATTAATCACGATAGACTTAAGTAAATAATGATATAAATCACAGCCAATAGGAATATCTATTTGGCTGGATTCACAGAATAAAGGATCGGCAAGCTCAACTTTAACGGAATTTTAAAGTTGGAAGGAGAGATAGAAAATTGTGATAAGTTATTGGCTATTTTGTCTATAACCGTACAAGATATATTAAATTTAAGATAAGGAGTTATTTGAGAATTAAAGGTAATGTCTACCACTTCCCCGCTATAGGTACAATTATTACTACCTAAGCCGGAAATATTTGCATTTTGTTTTTAAAAGAACGATTAATAATGCTCATTTGACTTGCTGAGTCCAGAGGAGCTCGTCCAATTATGGACTGACCATTAGAAGCATGGACATTTACCAATGCCGTAGGTAGCAGTACAATGTTATCTTTGACTGACGTTGCAGTTAATGAAGTTTGTGCCATCACAGACTCTGGAGGGTCTAGTAACTGATCAGCTCCAGAAGCATCAGTATTTACAAAATTAGATCGATTACATGCATTTTGGGAACCATTATTTATATTAGACGGGGACCTATTTGAACTAACAAAGGAGGAAGATCTAGGATCATTTTGATTACTTGAGCTACTGGGAAATCGAACTTGAGACTACAAAACTAGAAAATAGAACAAAATGAATGAACAAAGCTAGAAAATAATAAAATAAGGAAATAATGAATAAATGAAGAAATGAATTTGACGGGTCGCAAGCTCTTGCTTGTCAGACCTTTTCTTACGACGCGCGACGGTTGCTTGGCGACTATAAATATGGTTTTAAGGAACTTGTTGGTCTTGTTAATAGTTCAGGGCCGAGAATGGACTGGTTTTTTGGGACTAGTCCAAGTTTAGACATAAGGGGAGTTTTTAAATGAAAATATA